CTCTCTCTCACACACACACACACACACACACACCTACCAAATGTGTTTGTTTGTGCGGGTCGTTTTGCAATCAACTACCAGTAACTGGCTCTCTCTCTCTCTCTCTCTCTCTCTCTCTCAACTTGGCAGAAGCAGCTCCTGTGGGCTCAACCAACGAAATCCTGAGTGAGATCCAATAGAATAGTCGACCATTAGGGCGGTGGAATTCCAATAGAATAGTCGACCATTAGGGCGGTGGAGGTTCCAGAGGAGGGGCGATGCATACACCGGAGTTCGGGATCTGAGGATGGGGCCGAGGACGGTCAAAGCGGGGGAAGACCGCGGTGGGGGGAAAGGGACGAGACATCGGGGAGGATGTCGAGAATATCGAGAGCTGGGACAGGGCAGGGAGGGCAGAAGGTGAAGAAAGGTTTGAAGGGGGGCGGCAGGGCTCGGGAAAGAAAGATTGTAGGGAAGCGTAAGGAGGGATCGATCTGAACATGGGGGAGAGAAGATAATCGAAAGAGGAGGAGGTGGAAGAGGAGTAGCAGCGGGAGGAGAATGTGGAGGAGAGGAAGTCGAGGAGTTGCTTTTGTTTTCGTTTCCTTTTTTTAACTAACTTCTGATCTAGTATTTCAGGTAGGAGGAGGAGGTGAGAAGATCAAATCGCCAACAAAACTTGGCGTAATCTGCTCGCGCGGGTCGAGTTAGGTCGCGATGAGGAAACGGCGGATAGATGAAGATCACAAGAGGAGGAGGAGGGCAAGAAGGACGGGCACAGGAGGGGAAATAGGAAGAGCAGGGGCAAGACCAGAATGTGATGATGTACGCACTTACCTTAGCTGAGTAAGCCCTCGCGATTTTTCTATCGTCGGAGAGGGTTAGAAAAACTCGAATCTGGCCCGCTTCTAATTCTCGGAGTGCCGCTGTCCGCGCAAGCTATTCTCCAAAAGGAATAGAATATCACATGTAAGAAACACGGCACGCTCATCCCCTCGTTCCTGCACACCTCTCCACGCACAAACACCGCTCTGAGGGGCAGTGCACTTCATCACACTGTTCCACGCGTGCCTAAACGGCGCGCCACCCCGCCCATTTCATTTTTCACCAAGTCCGAACGGCACTTTGCCTCTCTCCACGCACCCCTCCACCCACAACACCAGTCTGTGTGTGTGTGTGTGTGCGTGTGTGTGTGTGTGTGTGTGTGTGTGTGTGTGTGTGCCAGAGAGAGAGAGAGAGAGAGAGAGAGAGAGAGAGAGAGACCACTCCGCCACGCACGTTTGCAC